CATTAAACGCAAATCAAAACAACATGTGTAAGTGTTTTGTTTTGTGTTTTTTAAAAGCGATTAATTCCAGTGACTCGAGTCTTTGAATCCGTTCACTAACAAGATCCGTCCAGTGGCCCTTTGAATAGTGCAGTGAACGGATCTTTTTAGTGAACTGTGCATTCAGAGGCAGACAGTAGTGAAGTATTTTTACTCTGCTAAGTGTCTGTACTTTATCAGAGTGTGTTACTTTAGAAAACTTTACTTCACAACATTCCAAAGCATAATATTGTACTTTTTTTTTACTGCATTACGTTTCATATTAAATATCATTTGATACTTAATTACATTAGAAATCTATTAGTTTCTTACATTTACTCAAGTGTCAAGTGTAATTCAAAGATTTACTTGAGTACAAGAAAGTACTACATTTTGTAAATGTTCTTAAGTATTAAAGGTAAAACAAACAGCTTTTATTTATGAAATGTAGTGCAGTAAGAATTATGACATATGCTTTGGAATGCAGTGAAGTAAAGTTTTCCAAAGAAAAACACTGATAGTCGATACTTTTTAAATTTACTTGAGTAAAGTAAAAATATTTCACTACTGTCCACCTATTAGCTATAATAAGTGAGTCCAAAAAACGAGTTAAGAGTTAAATAGCTTGTCTTTTTATTTACTTATTTTTAAATCACTGTTTGTACACTTATAATCACCGGCACTTCTCGTTCAGTCGGTCGAAGGCCTCGGTTCAAGAAGGAGATGTCACAGTACATTTAGTTTGTTTACGAACGAGATGTCTCGTTCAGTCAGTGTCGCTTCGTGCCTTCATCTTGTCTTCAACCCAAAAGCAGATATTAGTACCATGTTGAATAAATGTGACCATCTCTATTAATAATACAAGCCTACAAAATCACCAACTTTTTGTAAATGGTCTCTCCTTTTTTGACAAGCGCTTTAATAACAGTTTTATAAGTAATGGCTTAAACCTCATTGTATATCTTGGCACAGCATTTGGATGTTACCATATAAATGTGTAATTTCTAATAAAGTAAAAGAAGTACTTTACAAAATGATTCACAGATACTATCCTGTACATGCAGTTATTAGCAGATATATTCATAGTGTTTGTGATAAATGTACCTTTTGTAATGTATCTGTTGAAGATATTGAACATTTATTTTTCTATTGCCCTTTTTCTATTTCATTTTGGGTTGACTTTAAAATAGACATACAGTGGGTACGGAAAGTATTCAGACCCCCTTAAATTTTTCACTCTGTTATATTGCAGCCATTTGCTAAAATCATTTAAGTAAATTTTTTCCCCTCATTAATGTACACACAGCACCCCATATTGACAGAAAAACACAGAATTGTTGACATTTTTGCAGATTTATTAAAAAAGAAAAACTGAAATATCACATGGTCCTAAGTATTCAGACCCTTTGCTCAGTATTTAGTAGAAGCACCCTTTTGATCTAATACAGCCATGAGTCTTTTTGGGAAAGATGCAACAAGTTTTTCACACCTGGATTTGGGGATCCTCTGCCATTCCTCCTTGCAGATCCTCCCCAGTTCTGTCAGGTTGGATGGTAAACGTTGGTGGACAGCCATTTTTAGGTCTATCCAGAGATGCTCAATTGGGTTTAAGTCAGGGCTCTGGCTGGGCCATTCAAGAACAGTCACAGAGTTGTTGTGAAGCCACTCCTTCATTATTTTAGCTGTGTGCTTAGGGTCATTGTCTTGTTGGAAGATAAACCTTCGGCCCAGTCTGAGGTCCTGAACACTCTGGAGAAGGTTTTCGTCCAGGATATCCCTGTACTTGGCCACATTCATCTTTCCCTCCATTGCAACCAGTCGTCCTGTCCCTGCAGCTGAAAAACACCCCCACAGCATGATGCTGCCACCACCATGCTTCACTGTTGGGACTGTATTGGACAGGTGATGAGCAGTGCCTGGTTTTCTCCACACATACCGCTTAGAATTAAGGCCAAAAAGTTATATCTTGGTCTCATCAGACCAGAGAATCTTATTCAGGTGTTTTTTAGCAAACTCCATGCAGGCTTTCATGTGTCTTGCACTGAGGAGAGGCTTCCGTCAGGCCACTCTGCCATAAAGCCCCAACTGGTGGAGGGCTGCAGGGATGGTTGACTTCTACAACTTTCTCCCATCTCCCGACTGCATCTCTGGAGCTCAGCCACAGTGATCTTTGGGTTCTTCTTTACCTCTCTCACCAAGGCTCTTCTCCCCCGATAGCTCAGTTTGGCCAGACGGCCAGCTCTAGGAAGGGTTCTGGTCATCCCAAACGTCTTCCATTTAAGGAATGGAGGCCACTGTGCTCTTGGGAACCTTAAGTGCAGCAGAAATTTTTTTGTAACCTTGGCCAGACCTGTGCCTTGCCACAATTCTGTCTCTGAGCTCTTCAGGCAGTTCCTTTGACCTCATAATTCTCATTTGCTCTGACATGCACTGTGAGCTGTAAGGTCTTATATAGACAGGTGTGTGGCTTTCCTAATCAAGTCCAATCAGTATAATCAAACACAGCTAGACTCAAATGAAGGTGTAGAACCATCTCAAGGATGATCAGAAGAAATGGACAGCACATGAGTTAAATATATGAGTGTCACAGCAAAGGAATACTTAGGACCATGTGATATTTCAGTTTTTATTTTTTAATAAATCAGCATAAATGTCAACAATTCTGTGTTTTTCTGTCAATATGGGGTGCTGTGTGTACATTAATGAGGAAAAAAAAATAACTTAAATGATTTTAGCAAATGGCTGCAATATTGTTAAGAGTGAAAATTTTAAGGGGGTCTGAATACTCTCCGTACCCACTGTATATGTATAAATCTTTGTAAAATGTATTCCTGTGGTGCAAGGCTGAATTTTCAGCAGCCATTACTCCAGTCTTCAGTGTCCCATGATCCTTCAGAAGTCATTTTATTATGCTGAAATCTTACAATTTTACTGCTGAAATCTACAGTTGTGCTGCTTAATATTTTTATGGAAACCATGGTGCATTTTTTTCTGGATTATTTGATTATTAGAAAGTGCAGAAGAACAGCATTTATTTGATATGGAAATCTTATATAATATATTATAAATGTCACTTTTGATCAATTTAATGCATCCTTTGTTAATAAAAGTGATAATTTCTTTCAAAAGGAAAAGTCTTTACATAAATCTATACAATATAAATACATATACATACTGTATATACATATATTGCTATAAATCAAAGCTGTACCTAAACCTAATTTATTGAAAAGCTGCTCTCATTAATAAGGAATAATCAAAATATAATATTCTGATTTCAGTGGGCTTAATAGGGTCACTTCCCCTGATGATATACTGCATCTAAAATATATGATATATCATATCTAAAAATGTAGCTAGTAATTGATATAAGATTATATGACAATAAGATTGATATGAATACAAGTTATATTGCTTTATTCTGATGATACTTCAGCTGACAGTTTTACATATTGATGATTCAGTACTGACCCCTTGGTGGCAGGTACTATGGCTGTGGTCTGGTGGTCCCCGAGTGTCTGGAGTGCTGCAGGGTGCTTGATCTTGGCTGTGGGAGCGGACGGGACTGCTACATGCTCAGCCAGCTTGTAGGAGAGAAGGGACATGTCACTGGCATCGACATGACTGAAGATCAGGTAAGTTCATTTCAGGTTTTAGATAACACTGTAATGCTGCAATGCATTGTGCTACAGGTTAATTTATATGGCAGATTAGTACACCGTTAGTAAACGTGTACTTCTGTTTTTCAATAAAAAAGCAAAACTGATCATTTAAAAAGCATACCCTTTTAAAATATACAGTTGTGTTGTTTGTTTGTATTTTAAACAAAATATGAGATTAATAATTAGTCATTAAATGTTGTAATTGATTTACAGCACTAATATACATACATATATATATATATATATATATATATATATATATATTTTTTTTTATTTATTTATTTTTTTTAATGTAATGTCCTAAATGCATTTGACATAATGGCAAAAACAGTGTATGTGAACTGCTCAGATGTCTTTGTTTTACAGCATGAGGTGGCTAGGAAATACATCGACTACCACACAAAGATTTGGTTATAAAAAGCCAAATGTGAATTTTGTTCAAGGCTACATTGAGGCTTTGGCAGAAGCAGGTCTGGAGGAGAAGTCATATGATATCATCATGTAAGCTTTCACAGTTTCATAATAGCTGCCTATTTGTGAAGACAAATTACTTCTAAATTCTTTGCTGACACAGAACTGTTAGTTACTTTTTAACATAAACAAGCAATTTATTGTCAGTCTTCGTTCTTTTATTTCAAAAGATCAAACTGTGTGGTGAACCTGTCACCAGATAAAGCCAGTGTCCTGAGGGAGGCTTACCGTGTACTGAAGGTACTTCGATTTCATGCCAAATTCAGTTGTTCTGAATATTTGATCAAATTTTTTAGATCTGATTTTTTAATAATAGCCTAAAACATGCTAACATCTTACTTTCAATATTTAAAATATGGATTTCTTTTGAATAATGGCAATCTTTTGTGCCTTTAGCTCATTAACAAACAAAAAGGATGTTGATCTGCTTTGTCATTAGGATGGAGGGGAACTGTACTTTAGTGATGTTTATAGTGATGCTAGAATCCCCGAAGACCTCAAGGCCAACAAAGTATTATGGGGTAGGATAGAACATCAACTTTTTGTCCAAATTAGCCTGTTTTTTTTTCTTTAAAAAGTCTTGCCTTCCACAAATGAAGGCTTTAAAGGGTCTTAAATCAGAGCAGAAAGTCTTACATTTATTAAGTCACAGCGTTGCATGCATTGCTAAAAATGAAATGAAATCTTCCTCAGTTGATTTTGTCTTGTTTTCCAATACAAATATCTAAACATCTTTAAATCAAGATGCATTTATTGGCTAAATGAAGATATGAAGTCTTGTTTTCTGAGGAACTGGACAAAATTAAGTTTATGGCTTCATTTAATTATCTTTAAACATTTGCATTGAAATGTTTCAATGCAAGACAATAATACTAGAAAGAACATCACTTTTTGTTATTTCCATACTCTAGTGGCTTAGATCAGAGTTATTCCAGCCTTAAGCTTATTTTCTTGTAAAACAAATCAGAAAGTAATGGAGATCCATTGTAAGTTTGTATTTTAAAATGCATAATACAACAGCTAATACAACTCATTGTGCTGCCTAGACATTTACATTTACAGAACATGATGTGTTGTGTTGTCTTAAATTTATTCCTTACACTTTCTTTACTTGGTCTTAAATGTAACTACATAAAACCTGCAGAAACCCTGCTTTCTAAATGTCGCAAGTTTAACTTTTCTTGCGTTAAATGTCACATATAATTAAATGACACTGATTTAGGCTTCTTTGCATGTATTGATCAGGTGAATGTCTCAGTGGAGTATTATGGTGGGAAGACCTGATACGACTGGCTGAAGAGGTTGGGTTCTGTAAACCCAGACTGGTTACTGCTAGTATCATCACTGTGGGCAACAAGGAATTAGAGAAACTGCTTGGTGAGATGTTTGTGTTAAATATACCACCTTCTAATAGGAATAGTTGTCTATTATCACAGCCATGCTGATTTTCAGTCCAAGAACACTCTTACTTAATGGTCTGGAGGAAATTAATGCTCTTATACCACAGTTACCACATATGTGTACCACATGTGGGTTGTTGTACCTAAAAAAAATATTGTGTGTAGAACTACTGAGTGTCCACCACCGAAAAAACAACCCAAGCCTCCGTTGCTAATTTGAAAGTGGTTCCTAGTTTAGAATTATATTTAAAGGGGTCATATGATGCAATTAAAATGTTTCCTTTCTCTTTGGAGTGTTACAAGCTCTTGGTGCATAAAGAAGATCTGTAAAGTTGCAAAGACTAAAGTCTCAAATCCAAAGAGATATTCTTTATAAAAGTTAAGAGTCAGCCACGCCTACCTAAAACGGCTCATTCTAACACACCCCCACATGTCTACGTCACGATATGGGAAGATTTGCATAACGCCGCCCAAATGTTCACGCAAAGAAAGAAGGCTTAACTTTTATTCTCGTTGTAGTATTGTTGTTGCTGCCGCTGCCATGTCGTGGAGACGCTGTGTGTTTCGTTGTGAAAGCGAAACTACTTTGTTTGGCCTTCCAAAAGAGGACGATATCCGAGCACACCTCGCTTTTCAGAACGATGAGTTTTGTAAAAATCTACCAAAGGCGGGGCATAGAGGAGAAACAATAATGTACAGTATGTGAAAATTTTGTTTTTTGAACCTTAAACTGCATACACATATTTCATTACACCAAATACACAAAATAATGTTCTTTTTAGCAACGTCATATGACCCCTTTAAAAAAAAAAAAAACAGATTCCATGATCATTTGAACATTGAGATAATTTTTTCCCTTTATTTGATATATTTTTAAACGTAATTCTCATAATTGTGTAAGTTCATAGTTTTACTTTGAATTGTGAAATTTGTTTAGGTAACTACAAATTTGTGTCAGCCACATACCGGCTCTTCAAGTTACCCAAAGGTTCAGAGAAGAAGTCCTGTCTGGTCATGTACAATGGAGAAATTACAGGTGTGGAGGAAAGCTTCGAGTTTGATGGCCAGTATACCTTTAAGGTGTGTAGCTACATCCAGATCTGCATTACTCCTTCAGCAGAGCTCATAATGAATATAAGGTCCAGCACATTTCCCCCTAATTTGTCCCAATAGTTACTATTCATATTTTTGAATGAATGAACAGTAATGTTAGAATAACATCCAAATGGCTTAGCTGTATTTTAATCATGCCTAACTATACCTTGTGTTCCTCTTTTATTTTGCTTTGTCTGTTGGCCACATGGTTATATTAAAATGATCTGCATATGTAATAAATGCTGTGCATGGAATTAAGTTTACATAAAAGCCCTAAAATACTGCTGTTGAAACATTTGGAGTCAGTAGGATTGTTTTTCTAAGAAAAAAGATGCATTCAATTGATCAAAAGTAATAGTAAAGACATTTATAATGTTACACAAGATTTGTATTTCAAACAGAAAAAAAGTTTATTTTGAACTTAACATTTGAACATATACAAAAATATGAAGCAACAGCACTGTTTTTAACACTTATAATAATAGTAAATGTTCCTTGAACAGCAAATCAGCATATTAGAGTGATTTCTGAAGGGTCATGTAAGACTGGAGTAATGGCTGCTGAAAATTCAGCTGCATTATAAGAATAAATTACATTTTAATATGCTTTGCAATAGAACTGTTTTTTTTCCCCTGGACCAATAAATGAAAACTCTTCTACAAGAGACTTCTTTCAAAAATGTTTACCATTTTTACTGACCCTAAACCTTTAAACAGTTATGTATGTTGTGAACAAGCATGATCATGACACTTTAGTGTCTTTCTCTAGGTAGATAAAGAGATGGAGGTGGATGGTGATGTGGCCAGCATCTTGAGCAACTCCAGATTTTCTGGAGAATTTACATTTCAGCGTCAGGGGCTGAAAACCCCTGAAAAAAAGAGGATGCTGGGCCAAACCCAAGGTAAGTGACTGATTTCTTACCAGTGTGTTAACATGCCTCATGTTCTTAGTCTTGGTCTATATTCAGTAGGGGTTGAACGATTTCCGATTTTTTTTTAAGTCGACTTTTATGTGATGAAAGTCGAGTCAAAGTCGACTAGTCGCTGATGACGTCATTAATGAACAAATAACTCTGGAGCTGTGACAAACACCTTGTGCACAGCTATGGCATATGACACAGCACTGCCCACATGGCTGTTGCTCCTATAACAGCTTTTTTATCAATTCTTTTGTCTTTGGGTCGTTATATTTCTCACAGATTTCTGCTCGTTCTAAATCAGATACAGATAAAGTAGCACAGTAAAGATTACATTAATATGAATGCATTAGTGAAAGAGCGATTGCGTGTGTGAATTAATTCTACCTGGCAGCGTCTCTCTACTAGTAGTGAAGCTGTGGGATTTAGTTATTAAGAAATATATGCTAGAAATGTTCAGTTTCTAAGCTATTTTATTGAGAAATCACAGAACAGTGTTGACAATACAATTCCGTGCTGAATGATTCTGTGTGCGTGTGATGTACGAGCTACTGTCTGTAGCCTATGTGTGTGCTTTACAGTGCAGCAGCGCATTAGATTAGAACGGCGATTAATTTACCTGTACAATAAGCTGTTTAAAACGTGCATTCTCCTGTTAAATTTTGAGCATCCAGTAATAATCACACGTCTTGTGGAGCGTTTTCAGAGTATGCATTTATTTGTCATTTTAACTGTTTGGAAACGGAGCGTAAAGGTGGAAGTCCTTCAAAGATTTCTTATCCTGCGCCCTCTATAGGACCAGCGAATAGTCGACGTCAAGCTTAAAGCGTCATGGCAGAGCATTGAAGTCGATTAGTCGGTGCAACCCCTAATATTCAGTAATGCACTTAATATATCATGCCTTTGCATAATGGTCAAATTGAGTTTTAGTTGTAAAATCAGTTTTTGTTGCAATTTTAGACTAATCAGCTTTCAAAATACCTACTTGCATTCAAAATATTTCTCACTGGACCACTAATTTGCTTTAGTCCGATCACAGACATACAAGGTTATCCAGCTGGACCAAAAAGCCTTGGCCACAGAGGATTGCCCTCCCTTTCAAACAAAGAATGGCAGCTTATCAGTGCTGGTGGTGATTCAGTCCCTTCAAACACAAGAAAGGATTATTTAGAATTACTTACAACACCAAAGCACAATTTTAGAAATGCAGACCTAAAGATATAGTTTAGTTTTGGTTTTATTCTTAAAAGTTTTTTGATCTAAAAAGATTCCTGACATGCTTCAGCTGTTTTTTACCTTTACACAAAAAGCCTGTAAATATAATCTCATAGCAATATATCAGAGGCATATACAGGTCGCTGTACTGTATACTTCAAATCTTTTTTTAATATTATAATGTAATAAGGAAGCATTGCATCCAGATTGATGCTGTTTGTGTTGTTTTAGACCAGAGTTTTTCAAACTTTTCGATACCCTGGCCTCCCAAAATGTGATGGTCCCAGTTAAATGCAGCTATATATCTTCAAGTATAAAAGTCCTATGTATTATAATGTGAAAAATACTTTAGTAAAGTATACTCACAATGTATTTATTGAGATCTGGCTGGCCAAAAAAAAGTTATTTAAATAAGCAAATACTGAAGAGTTAAGATTGGATCATTATTGTAGTGATTAACTTGTTTCTGACATGTTATATGTTTAGCAACAATTCTTTTAACCCTAACTAATGCAGTGCATAGATGTTAAACAACCATATTGGAAGACATACTCATGTACATATTCCAAGACAACAATGCCAAGATTCACCAGGCTTCGTTTATGAAGTGATTCGATGAGCTTGAGGAATTGTTTTCTTGAATAAATTGGTCACCACAGAGTCCTCAGCTTAACCCATATTGAAAGTCTTTAGGTTGTGCTGGAGTCAACGTTTTAGGGAGTGGTTTGACTCTCCCATTGTCAAGAACGCAGCCAAAAATGAATCCAACACTTGATGGAAATAAATGGTGTGTTACAGCATGATGTTGTTGAAACTATACCACAATGAATGCACAATAAAATCAAAGTTAAAGGCAGTCCAACAAAATATTTGAGTGTGCAACTATTTTTTGGACAGGCAGTGTAAAGTCGACTCCAGCACATCCCAAAAACTTTCAGTGGGGTTTAGGTCAGGCCTCTTTGGTGGCCAATCTTTCACAAATTGTGCCTGATGACTCCTGCCATTGTTACATGGGTACATCTTCCCATATGTTTTTTTTTTGAGAAATAAAAAGCTACACACTGCATCAGTTAGTGTTAAACATACAACATGCAAAAAAACATAAATCACTGCAATAATGACTAAACCTTAAAATCTTACATATTTGTTCAACCCTTGTTATAGACAACTCAGTTTGTGTTGATCAAAGAGATCTGCCTGTACGTTTTGATTCCATCATTTTATGCAGTTCCTGGATGCAACGAATTTTACCGTACCTATGAGGTAATAGGGTGCACCTGCATAATAAATCAGTGTCAGTGAATACCAAAATTATGTCAATTATGAATATACTGCACTTTGAACCACTGAGAATCTTCCTCTCTCTCTCCAGGCAGTGTCAGTGGATCCCTTTGAGCTGGTCCAGCAAGTGTAACTGCTTCCACTGGGGGGTGCTGTGGAGACCAGCAATCATGCTGCCAGTAAATCCCAGCAAATTTCAAAGCAGTATTGTTTGATTTTGACTCGAAAAGAACACATTTGTTGTTAATTGTGACCGTGATTGTGTAAATTTTTTTATATTACTCTATACTGTAATATAGTATTAATTATAATTTTGTGAAAGCATGATGTTGTTGAAACTATACCACAACGAATGCACAATAAAATCAAAGTTAAAGGCAGTCCAACAAAATATTTGAGTGTGCAACTTTTTTTTGGACAGGCAGTGTAAAGTCGACTCCAGCACATCCCAAAAACTTTCAGTTGGGTTTAGGTCAGGCCTCTTTGGTGGCCAATCTTTCACAAATTGTGCCTGATGACTCCTGCCATTGTTACATGGGTACATCTTCCCATATGTTTTTTTTTGAGAAATAAAAAGCTACACACTGCATCAGTTAGTGTTAAACATACAACATGCAAAAAAACATAAATCACTGCAATAATGACTAAACCTTAAAATCTTACATATTTGTTCAACCCTTGTTATAGACAACTCGGGTTGTGTTGATCAAAGAGATCTGCCTGTACGTTTTGATTCCATCATTTTATGCAGTTCCTGGATGCAACAAATTTTACCGTACCTATGAGGTAATAGGGTGCACCTGCATAATAAATCAGTGTCAGTGAATACCAAAATTATGTCAATTATGAATATACTGCACTTTGAACCACTGAGAATCTTCCTCTCTCTCCAGGCAGTGTCAGTGGATCCCTTTGAGCTGGTCCAGCAAGTGTAACTGCTTCCACTGGGGGGTGCTGTGGAGACCAGCAATCATGCTGCCAGTAAATCCCAGCAAATTTCAAAGCAGTATTGTTTGATTTTGACTCGAAAAGAACACATTTGTTGTTAATTGTGACCGTGATTGTGTAAATTTTTTTATATTACTCTATACTGTAATATAGTATTAATTATAATTTTGTGAAAGGCAACACAAAGAAAAACAAGAAGAAATCACTCAATCTTGCAATGTTTTAAATACATCTGTAATCATACTGATAAATGTATAGCATTGACCAGTAACTCACACAGGTCTATATAGTTGCATAATCTAAAGCATTCACCTGCCAGGTTTAATCTTTATTGTAATCTGTATTGTATTGCCAAGTTAACTAAAAACACACATGGTTTATCGAACTTTTGTAATTAAATAACTTTTTCCATTGCTGTAATAAAAATGTTTTTTTTTTTTAGCTGACTGCCTGGGTATTACTATCAGCTGTGATATACATTTAAATAAATCATTTAATGATACTGACATGCAAATCACCTTTTATAAAATGTAATCTAGCCCTATCCCTTAAACTTTCACAACAGGACTTTTTGTTTTTGAAAAAGAACAGAATTTGAGGAACTTATGGAAAATTCTACAGAATACCAGTAAAAAGTGATTTATTTATTCGCTCTAATTTACTGAACGTGAATTGTCACTGCCTGTGAAGATTGTAGGGTTGTGAAATATAATTCATGATCAGTCAACTTTCCTTTGGTCTGGACTGATCTCTGATCCCTGATAATGATCAAATGTTCACTATGTGGAGATCTGACTCCACGATTATTTTACATCCTTTCATAGGTTTTGCACGTCTTGCGTTTCTCAAGATCCCTTTTATCCCTGCCATATCTATGTAAGGTACATATATACATTTTTGTGTAGTCACAATAAATGTATAGCGTTGTTCATTTCTTTAGGATGACTGCATGAGGGCTGAGTTTCTGGGTGTGTATTCAACTATGAGCACTTTTATGACTCGGGTTGATAAAGAACTTTTTTTCTAATTGTTACAGTATATGGAGGTCATGTTAACCTTTTAACATGCCTTTGTCATATTTTTTTGAGGTCATGTTAACCTTTTATAATTTTTTTCTACATCTATTTATTTTATTTTAGTTTTATAGTTTAAAGATTTTGTGTTACTCTTGTCCCAGACCCAAACATTCAGTGTCAAACTATTAAAATCCAACATATGACTTCTTGCATGATATGTGGTGCAGTGGGCTATGCACATGCTTTGGGTCCCTGAGATGTTAGGGGTCCAACCTGGGACATAGTGATCCCCCTTCCCATTCTTACCCCTACTTTCCTTTTATTTGTTTATTTATTTTTAGCAAAATAAGATATAGGATATAGTTACATCTTGTGAAACCATATTGTGATCCAAACTATTCAGGGGATGTAATTTAGGATACATAATGATGTCCATTTTTTTTTTTTTTTAATAATGTTTAAATTCCACAGTGTCATTTGCACCATAGAGTGCTATCGGACACATTCAGACACAATAATTATCCTAAGATGCTTGCCTCCACTTTTGTACATTGTAAGTAGACCAATTAAAGAAACTAGTGAAAAGCGTGATTTAATTGATTTTCCAGAAGTCCACAGGTCGTCCCTACGCTGTTGAAGAAACACTATAATCTTGTTAGTTATTTACTTCCTTTCGTGAGTGTATCTTGGCACTATTCAAAGATGCTGTCAGCAAAGATCCCTCTCAAAACACCAAAAACAGTCACGAGGAAACTTCTGTTTGCGCTCATTTGCATTAAGTGCGACTATTTACGGAGCTCATTGGCTGTAACTGCGGCGCAAGCCCCGCCCCCCGCCCAGCTGCGCCTCTGGATTGGCTGCTCCGCTCGCCTGTCACCGAGACATCAGCGGAGGCACGAGTTCGCGCTGCTCTCGCTGGAGTGTGATCAGTTTCAGCCGCGTAGCGGGACTCAGCGAGACCTGATGCACAAGTCAAGGCGACGCGCAGCGGAGATGAAGCCGGATTGGCTCTGATTTTTAAAAGCCCTTTCATTCAAGAGGCTGTCCATTATCAACATGGCAGAACCGTCGGTTCCAGTACCCCCTCAAAAAATGGCGTCACTTAGCCGGGTCCGAGCCTTTACTCTGATTTTCTTAACTGCAAGCAGTTCTTTAATTACTCCCACAAGTGGCAAGGAAGGAGGGGGAGAGGAGACGGTCATCATCGGGCTGAGACTGGAGGACACGGACGACATTTCCTTCATGGACAGGGGCTATCTGCGGGTCAGCGAGAGGTCTCGGGTGAGATTGAGGGTGTACGGGCAAAACATCAACAACGAGACGTGGTCCAAAATCGCCTTCACGGAGCACGAGAAGAGCCGAGTGATTGGCACCATCGACAGCTCCTCGGGGGACAACAAGAGTCAGGAGGACACGTCGGGCTTGCACCCCTGTGGCATCAGGACCTCGGATATCCTCATCCTGCCCAACATCATTCTAAACCGCAAGACGTCTGGCATCGTGGAGATCGAGGTCAAGCCTCTGCGCAAGACTGAGAGGAGCAAAGCGTACTACCTGTGCATCGCCACTTCCACACCTGCCGCGGCGGGCGCGCACGACCCGTGGACGGAGCACACGTGGATCTATCACGATGGAGAGGACACCAAAGTGATCGTGGTGGAGGAGAAGAAGTTCCTGCTCCCTTTCTGGCTCCAGGTCATCTTCATTTCCATGTTGCTCTGCCTCTCGGGCATGTTCAGCGGCTTGAACTTGGGTCTGATGGCGCTGGATCCCATGGAGCTGCAGATCGTCCAGAACTGCGGGACGGAGAAGGAGAAGAACTACGCCAGGAAGATCGAGCCCGTCAGGAGCCAAGGAAACTACCTGCTTTGCTCGCTTCTTCTGGGGAATGTTCTGGTCAACACCACCTTGACCATCCTGTTTTTTTTGGGTGATGCCAGTGAGTTGACAGGGCAAATAAAACTATTGGCTCAACTAGCCAACCTAAAAAAATAAACAAGCCCAATCTCTCGGCAATTCATACATATTCGATGAGGGGGCTAATTTGTACAACCTCATTAATATGAATTTGTATGTTTTGTTAAAATCTTACATTTTTTACGAGGTGGCAAATTCGTATAAATTCGTGCAAATGACCACCTAACCCCACCCCTAAACCTATCCCTCACAGAAATCATGCAAAATCATATGAGTGAGGTTGTACGAATTCATACTAAATTAGCCACCTGGCAAAATACATACGAATTGGTCATGAGATAGTGTTGAAAAATCAGTTTTGTTATATTACTTAGAAAGATTTAGAAAGACTGTACACATTTTGTTACAACCTTTGTCTCAGGGTACAACTGACTCCCATTGGTTTTCGTACAGTTTGCTAAAAAATTTACATTCTGAAAAACACTGAACAGTCAGGTAAAAAAAAATTTAACCAGTCCAACACTAAAATATATAATATATGAGAACTTATAAAAATGTAAGAATCAAAGTTTATTTGAAATTGAGATTCAGAAAGGAAAGGAAAATTTCACTGTTTCTTTTGAGTTTCACAGTAAAAAAACCCCCCAAAACGTTTCACCCTCACGAGGGTTTAAGAAAAAGACAACAAATAGGCAGAGTAAGTACCAACAGCAATTAATACTACTTGCACAAAGTACAAATAATGTAAAATACTATTTATACTTGCACCTCTTTTTGCACCTCTGACAAGCTGCAATAGAGGATTTAAGTAAGTATGTCAATTTAGTGCGTGCTTACATTTAAAAACTATGCACATGTAGGCAAAACCACATCCTGATTGACCAGCACTTTTGATTCATTTGTCTTGCTTTATCAAATTTCATCAAGCATTTTCTCTATATTCCTTTAGTGCTTAATCTAGGGCAGGAACAGGGTACTGTCTTCTAGCACTTTTGCCTCATCATACTCATTCAGCTGCATGGGATGTAGAAACCATTTTCACTGCAAACAGACAGAACAAAAGTACATAAAGACAAAGGTCATGAAATTAGAGCCCAATTCTCCTGAAATCACTAACCCTTCAGTGCGACTTAGTTCAGTGCCAGCATCGTTATCACCCGCTTGAGGCGATCAATCTGTTAATTTATGCACGATAGGAAGATCTGTTATCTTCTTAAATCATGCAGATGAACTCTTGGCCTTCAGTTCTTTTTTAGCGAGAGACTCCATGCTCGTCATCTGTATCAGCATCTGTTTTGCAATTATGTTTCTGTCATTATGGCTATCTATAATAAAGACTGACTTCATCTTATCACATATTTATGCTGTTATATATTCAAAATATATCACAAATGTCCAGTACTCCATAAAAAGACAAAAAATCAGCCTGCATATCACTTATCACTGGGCACGTTATCAGTAGTGATATCTATAGATGTCATAATCCACTGTAATTCATTTACAGTACAGCAATTGCTGTATTTTTGTAACACAGGGCCACTGAAGGTGGTTGGCCTTCACATGAGTTCTTGCATGTGTTGAACCAATCCACCCACTAACAGTGGCGGCTCGTCGGGGGAGGCACAGCTTCCCCATAATTTTGAGGTGAAAATGGTATGAAAATGTGAAAAATAAAATTCACAATTCATTTCAGTTCATGTCTCAGAATGTGTATTTTTTGTTTGTAATACCGTAACGTGAAAGTGCCGCTTTTCTATCGCGAATGTGCCAAATCTGCTGATGTAATTACAACCGCTAATGATCTCGTGCCTCCGATGGTAAAAAAAAATTAGCCAATCGGCATCAAGTGTTCACTTTCAGCGCTGAGGAGTGTTGAGAAAAGAACCCTTGCAAGGGAGGCTAGCCTCCCTTCTGATATGATCAATCTGTTAATTTATGCACGATAGGAAGATCTGTTAATTCATTTACAGTACAGCAATTGCTGTATTTTTGTAACACAGGGCCACTGAAGGTGGTTGGCCTTCACATGAGTTCTTGCATGTGTTGAACCAATCCACCCACTAACAGTGGCGGCTCGTCGGGGGAGGCACAGCTTCCCCATAATTTTGAGGTGAAAATGGTATGAAAATGTGAAAAATAAAATTCACAATTCATTTCAGTTCATGTCTCAGAATGTGTATTTTTTGTTTGTAATACCGTAACGTGAAAGTGCCGCTTTTCTATCGCGAATGTGCCAAATCTGCTGATGTAATTACAACCGCTAATGATCTCGTGCCTCCGATGGTAAAAAAAAATTAGCCAATCGGCATCAAGTGTTCACTTTCAGCGCTGAGGAGTGTTGAGAAAAGAACCCTTGCAAGGGAGGCTAGCCTCCCTTCTGATATCAACCAATCATCATTGAGAAATAAATTACGTGATATTAGTTTGAACGTCTGCCCCTGCGCTGATAATGTACCAAGTACTTATGATGAGTAGCGATATTGAATATTTGATCGCCAACAGATTTACCAAGCTGCCATTCAAACAGTATATATACAAATTTAGGGAAAACAGTCTAAGCTGGATATAGGCTACAGCAGTCGGCTTAATTAAATGGCGCAACAGGAAGCTCTCTTTTAACACATACTTTTAAGAAGGGATGGATGTTTGCTTCAAGTGATAGGCCAGGTAAGTGAAATTATATTATCTGGCTGTATGTATGTCGTTTTCTTTACATTTTCTTACTAAAAGCAACCAAAAAGCCATTTTAAAGTGGTTAAGCAAATAATAATAATAATAATAATAATAATAATCGGCAGGGATCCCAGACCAATACAATTAGTGTGCCTCCTCTATTTTAAAACCCACGAGCCGCCACTGCCCGCTAATGTAGGCCAGTCTATTCTTAATTCAGATTCAGCAACCTCCTTTCCTTCTTGTTTTAACATGGGAATTCTTTTACACTTCACTTGGCTTAGTTAAGGCTGCATTATATATCGTAATAGAAAACATCCCTGCTTCTTTTACTATTATACTTAATCCAAACAACATCTTATTGAATGAAATCGGATTCATTTTTGTGGCATCCTGCATCTTCAAGTTTGATAAGCAATCGACCAGTGATTTCTGCTGAGATTCTGGAGCGTATTCTTGGTAAGACTTGCTTCTGCTTGTAGGGATTATGTGGCAACATATTGGCAGGAACTGTGCTAAATGCAGTTTGTGGGATCCCCCTTTGAACACACTATAGTTTCACACTCTTAAATATATACTGTATTACTAGGGATGTAGCAATACATTATATCAATATATTGGAATACAGAAATGCAACAATATGTATCATGGATAGCATCAAAACGTAGTGTGTACAGTCTACCCTACAGTTTTAAGGCAGTTTTAATTCAGCATCAAATATGATAAACTCAAAAAAAAAAATCACACATTTGAGCTTCCATGTGTATTAATTATCATCAATAAATTAAATTTTTAAATATATGTAGTCAGGGACAGAGTGCAAGCATTCGTATCTAATGAAATTCTGTATTTTTATCCAAGCAGAATAATGAATATTTCTATTCTGGTGTCATCCTTGCTCTGTGCATTAGAGAACAGGACCAAGCTCACCTAGCTGTAATACTAAATTTAGCATTTAATGAACATTACTTTTTGTTAACTGTTCAACATATGTGTTAGAAGTAATAATAATAAAAAAACATAAACAACTATATTTTGGTTTAAGGACAGGAAAAATGGTCGGTGCGCCTGGCACATGGTCTAAAAGGGTTGTCCCTATGCTCTTAAAGGGGTCATAGGATGCTACATGCACTTTTACAAGTTGTTTGAACTGAAATGTGTGTTGGCAGTATGTGTACACAACCACCCTATAATGATAAAAATCCACCCAGTGTTTTTTTAAATCTCGTTAAATGTTTTCCCCTTTCTCAAATCGAGCCGATCTCAGATGCCTGTCTATGTGACGTCACACAGACAGGCCCCTCCCACGATAGTTTGATTGACAGTAGCGTTTCAGCACAGACTGGACTGGTGTCTTACCTTAGACCCACCCCTGAGCTGTCATCAGTCTGCCATTGTTTCACCGCTGGGGCAGTTGTAGACAAGAATGACTCCTAAGCGATTGAGATGTTCTGTTGTTGGATGTAATAATGAACATAGCAGTCGTCATTTACTCCCGACATTGGAGCCGCTGAACTCGCAGTGGATATCATTGTTTCTGAAGGGAATGCGCCCCCGATCTACATAAATGCGTCTAAGTTTTACGATGAATAAACAGTCTCTCTGAGAGCAGCTCGGAAAAGAGGGGTGGGGTCAGCATAGCTCATTAACATTTAAAGGAAAATGCTACAAGAACGGCTTGATTTTTTACACTACCATTGAGAAATTTCAACCAAACTATGTTACAGACTGTTTGACCAATATTGCTATTGCGATTTAATATGCAATTATTTTTTAAAGTTCTTTATTTTCTGTATTATTCAACAAAGACAAACCACATGAAAAAATACTATAGTAATTTATAGTAAATACTATAGTGTTTTTGAACCATACTATAGTGAAGTACTTGAATGAATTTGTTGTGGTAATTCTATAGTTGCTGTGGTAATATAACAGCTAGAGTAATATAAACAAATTAGTTTACCCAATACTGTACTAAGTTTTCTACAACTATAGGGTATATTATACTACAATACATTACACTGTAGTAAAAACTAAAGTATACTACAGTATTTATTATAGCTTATCAGTTCTATACTATCTAACTATACTATACTATACTATACTAACTATACTATAGTTAATACTACATTATGCTGTAGCATTCATTAACAAAGTGTTGTAAATACTAAAATATATACAGTATAATACACTTTACTATAGTATGGTTCAAAAACACTATAGTATTTACTTTAAATCACTAAACCATACTATAGTAAAGTGTATTATACTGTATATATTTTAGTATTTACAACACTTTGTTAATGAATGCTACAACATAATGTAGTATTAACTATAGTGAACTGATAAGCTATAATAAATACTGTAGTATACTTTAGTTTTTACTACAGTTATAAATGTTATTTTCTGTAGGCCAGGCCTATATGTTACGATGAAATTAGGTGATGCATGAATTGATATGAATGACATTTTTAACAACTAAAATCACAGTAGTATATTGACTGATTTGTTGAACTTCCAACGTTGTAAGCATGTAATAATTATGACAACATAAAGCACTGACAAATAAGCCTGGTGTAAACATTAATACGAAAGTCAGTAACAAATCACACAACTAAAGTAGATTGCAGAAATATAAAAACAAATCTGTTGCTTTACCACACTACTTTAGGTAATTCAAAGTCACTGTAATAAACATATGTAAACATGTGGACTGCACTAAACACAATCGGTTAACTTTAGACCAGTGGTTCTCAAAT